AATAATTAATGATAAATTTAAAAATTTTTATTAAGAGTAAAGTTCACTTTGAATTTCATAAAATGTGTGCAAAAAAAATATCTTATTCTTTCCCCTCTTACCCATCTGTTTCAATTTTTGCTTTATGCTTTTTGTTTGTTTATGCATTCTTGTAAATGTTTCAATCATATGATTTGTTTACATTATACCTGATCATCTAAAAATAGCTTATTTTTTGTTATTTTATTTTTTATTTTTTTAAATGATAAAATTTTCACCTACCTTTCTGAGGTTTTATAAGATATATAATGTCTAAGCCTTCCCGATCATGTATAAAATACCCTGATACTGGGCAGAGGTAATAGTGATCCAGATATGGTGTTGGTAAATACAGAGAAAAATTGACAAAAGTACCTGTGACTGAAAGTGATCCCTCTATCCAAATTTGACAGTGGTTCTCCTTGTACCGATACTGCAACTAAAAAAAAAAAAAAAAAAAAAAAATTAAATGATAAAATTTTAATATATCAGCTATATATAATTTGATTGGTTGATCTATCAGGTTACACAGATCAAAAGATGTCTAACTGGCAATTGTACTGATTAGTATATATTGGCCAATCTGAAATCTTCAAATGGTTAAATAAAAAGTAACTCAGATATCATCATAAATTGGATACAATCAGAAAATTGTTAATTGATATTTAATGTTAATATCAAAGTTTCATATTAGTGTTTACTTATATAACAGTTATATGTCAAACTATCAGTTGGAGTTTATTTATTATTTGAAGTCTAATATGTAAAAATAAGAAGAACTGGCTTTCAGATGATGTTTATTATTAATATAGAAATTTCCTGATTGGTATTTATATATATATTTGTGATAATTTGTATATATGCTGAATGGAGAATATTAACTTAATAAAATTAATAAATCACTAATTTAATAAAATTAAATAATATATTATATATGATTATTATTACATATTAAATTTTCTTGCAATTGAAATAACAGCCATATATGCAACTGGATTTCTTTTATCTAGTATATTATGAACTGGTATGATACAATTCCTACTAATATTATAAAAACCTTTTGACCAAATTTCTATGTTACAGATCTGAACATTATCATTAATCTGAAAGTAGAATCTTATATGATAACTTAGTGTCAGCTTGTACCATTTAACAAAGGCTAGTTCATGACTTTACCTCCTATCTGGAAGGTTTACTTCATGTTCAAAAAGTATTAGATTTGTCCCAAATATACATCAACTGAACTATTTTCTTGCAAGAATAAACAAATTTTTAAATGTTGAGACACACTAGCTAATCTAAAGATTTTAGCTCTAATTCAAATATGTCTAAACTGATTTACTTGAAGATGGATAACAATCCTATGACCAGAACTTCTAGTATTAACTAAATTCACAATCGATAAAAATTTCATGTTATAAGCATTATTATAATAGGCTATTAGAATTTTGTATACATTGTCCAGTAAACCAACATTAATTTTTTTAGGAGTAAGCATCTCTTCAGGAAAAGGCTTAATACCTGTAACTGTATTTTTAACTTCAAGCTGATAGATCTGCTTAAAATGCTGAAGTTCATCAAATTTGAAATTATCGTAAGCTGCCAAGCTTCCTAAAGTTATCCTTGACTTTATTAACTTTAGATATTCAACAAGTACTATATTATTTGATTGAGAAGATAAAAGGTCATCAAGCCATTAATTCTGCATGATAATTCGTAGTAATTCCAGTTCGATCTGACAATGACTATTTGGAAGGGAGCCTAAAAATACAATCAGTTTATATAATATTAAAGTTTTGACAATAATTGGCATATAACTTACCTAAAATACCGTTCATTCTTTTGAATGAATAACATCAGAATGAATATATCAGACTGTAATCCATACAACATTCAGTAAGATGGAGAGAGAGATGAATGTTTGGAGTGATAAATTTCAGTCTGTAGTTTTTTCAATCAATTTGGTAATAAACAATAACCGGGTGTATGCTTCATCTAATATATTTTTATCAATAATGCGTGATATTAATAGGAAGCATGCTCTAATAAATCTTGTCAAAATTTCTCTATCATCTTCATCTATAAGATCCTATATAATTGGGATTGCATATATTATTATGAATATTTTTCATTGGTCGGCAGCATAACCAGAAAATCCCTCTCTAGTAGCAATCTTGTAGGAAATTCAGCTAATATCAGAAGGAACTTTAAGTTTACTTGCTCTTTTCTCCATTAACTTAAGGTTAGATTTTGTAATTTTTTCACCTTCTATCCATAATCTTTTTACGATCTAATGCGTTATTTCTAGAAATAAGTTATACATCAGGTCTACCACCAGGAATCTGATTAGATCGAAGTATGATAAGCAGAGCATCTCTGACCACTGAATATGAGTCTGACTTACGTGTTTTTTCTGATCTTCTTTTGTCTATTGAAGCTTTCAGATCATTGCATTATGGTAATATTCTGAAACATCTTTCATCTGGCAGCTGGTATATCATTGCTGTAGCAAATTACAGCCATTTTGATATTCCTACCAGTAGGATAATCATTAGTAGTTAGTAAATTAACACCATCCTAAAACTCTAGCAACTCTATTATTAGAGCTAAGTAATGATTGTAATTTGACCTTATCTGGTCCCAGTAGAAGGCTAAGCATTAGTATATTTTCTTTTTTAAATCTTAGGTCTTAGGGAAGATTACAAATGATATTATATATCATGTCACAACTGTACACTGATAATTTGAAAGGTTAGAACTAGTCGAGGTTAATCATTATTCCAAGATTAGTATCTGCAGTCTCGAGTGTGAAAAATCAGAATGTTTAGTCATTTTGGTGTAATGGAAAGAACTTCCAAATTTTACCATCATAAATATCTAACATAATGTTAGTTATAACGTCTCGATTAGCCCATTTTTTTAAAAGTTCTTCGAATCCTAGTCATTTATACATTAAGGCTAATTGGGTCTTTAAATATGATAATGGGTATATAATTTTTGGACGCCATTATTTATTGGAACCTTCACGAGCAATTCTGAATCATAGGATTTACACTGGCTTCACATTAGGTAGTTCAAAAATTCGACATGAATGCATTTAAATCCTAATCTTATATTATCACCTGGAATTATGTCTGTTAGGTTATAAAGTTTGTAGCAATCAGTGTAAGTAGTGAAGGACTTCGAGTTTTTTTAATGTCTAATATTTTCCTAGATAAGAATCCTTTAAACTGGTTTGAATTAATATTTTTCAAAACAAGGCTAAAGAAGCTGATTAATGAATTGATTGCAACATCAGAGAGTCTGAATCTTTCTTGATATTTGAAGATCCAGAGAAGTATCCATAAATCATTTATGTTTATATTATTATTCTGATCTGAATTATTAATATTAATGAAACCAGGAGCTGTAAATAATTTATCATCATTTAAGAGTAATTCAAAATCTTCTAAATCTTGTTTGTTATCATCTAAATCATCAGATGGTAGAAAGTCTTCCTTGTCATCAGATAAACCTTCTTCATCACCAGTTGAATAAACATGTTGCTTTAGATACTTCATCTAGAATAGTGATATCATTACCAGTATTATAAAAATGATCATATCTTCTTCATTTCCTTTTGACACAAACAGGCTTTCTAATAAAAACCTCTCCATTAGATCAGTTGTGATCATTATCTATCATTACAGCATCATCTTCACGAGTATTTTCATGAACATCTTTACTAATTTCAAGTCTGAGATGATTTTTAAAATCAGGAAGATAAGTTGATGCTGATTCCTCTTTTTTTTACCTTTGCTAATCCATTTGGTGACTGAATCTTGAAGTCGAATCTTTTCATTTTTATAGTTTTTCCTAGTTCTCATATTAACAAGTTTACTGTTATATACTTTATAATAATATGGCACTTTGGGTTGAACTTTTATAGTTCTTTTAAGTATTGACGTTGTTAATTGATTCATTTTCTTAAAAAGGTATGACAGTTTTAAAATTATGAAAGATCAGGAAATGAAATAACGCATGCTGGTTGTAGTAATGCAAAATTTATTCAGTGTCAAAGATACATCAATAGTATATATGCTATTTTATGATATACTTTTTTGCATACTTTTTTTTAGTAATATAAAAGAACAATATTTTTAAATGAAACTCTCTCCCTACTATATTATGAATTGTGGTGTTCGTGGTAGAACCAATGATAGAAACACCTCTCCTCATTTTGAACGTAGTAGAAATAGGTCTCACTCAAGAAGTAGTTATGATACGGGATGTGCAAATAATAACTATGGAAGTCATGACAGGAGACGTGATAGAAGCCAATCACCACCTTAAAGTCGCAGTCAACAGGATCATGATAGAAGTCAATTACTGCCCTAGAGTCACAGCCAACAGGATCGTGATAGAAATCCTAGATATCTCTTTATCAATAACCTGCCTAATGATGTTCAAGAAGCTATAAGAGTAAGTATTTTTTATTTATTCCTTTTTACTGCATACTAACAATATTCTTTTATATTTAGCGTCAAATTTTTTGAGTTATCAAGAGATTGCTAACTCATAATTAATTGAAATTAGAATAGACATTTGATTCTCAACAAAATCTTATTAACAGCAAAATAGTTCCAGCTGTTATAGAAGCTTTAGATTTAAATATATTTTCAGTTTCAGAAGGTATCATATACAACATGATTTACAAACATCATAAAATTAAACATGAAGAACATTTAAAGAAATAACAACTGTCAACTAAATAAGATGAGCATGCCAGACAAAAACATATGAATAGTTGAAGAAAAGATGTAAATAAATTCTATCCTTTCCTTTTTAATTATTTAATATTTAATATTTTATTTTATTACAATACATTATGTCATAAATATGTAGAAACAAATGAATATGGCCAATATTATCGATTATTTAGTAGAAATCAATGATCCATTGCTTAAATTATTTGAGGATCAAGAGATTTTACTGATCAAGGATAACTCTGCATACCACTCACCTAAAATTTCAGAAACTGATGAAGAGAATCCTTCTGGTAGAAGAAAGATTGTTAAAAAATACTTGAGATAGCGCTTGGTTATTGTAAGATTAATGACAATGATTATATGTTAGCCAATACAAACTAATTTTTATTTTGTAATTGCAATTATTTTTACGCGATTACGTTGATCGTATATTTAACAAATCGTTAAAAGTTCTGAAAAAATAAGCTCGAATTGATGATGGCTGTTATTACGATAAAGAACAATCAAAACCATTTCAGGTACTAAAATAGACCATTAATGATTACAAAAGTTTCTTAAAATTAGCCATACAAAATGCCTGTAGAGAACGATTATTAAGTACGCTTCTTAAACAGACTTAATGATCGAACATGCAAAGATAACAACCACCTTAATAACTGACAGCAAAATTCAGAAAAAATGCGAAAAAGCTAGTAGTGAGGTCTAGTATTAGAAAAGAAATGCAAATCACCGAATAAGATAACGAAGGAAATACTACTGCAGTTTAATAGAGTTTAGCATTAGTTATTTATTGATTAACGAAATTTAATAATCGTAAAATTGTACAAATAGTAGTATAGTGGCATTATTTGTAAAAATAAAAACAATAAAATAATAAAAACTTTATCAAATTGGCATTTTAAAATAGTAGTGATAAATTTGAGAAATATATTCCGTTATGATCAAGAATTAAGTTTAATTGTCTATGCTAACTGTTAATTAATTTACAACCAGGATTCTGATTAATAAAAATTCAACAAACTAACTGTTAATATGATTGTGATATATTTTTTAATCAGTGTTTTCAGAATATTCAATTTTCAGTAATCAGCATATAAATTAGTTCCAATAGTTCATATTATTAGAGACGATTACATGCTGATTGCAGTCATCATCTGATTCCAATCAGTAATTAATAATATGGTCTAGTATTCTCCAACCGGCATTCTATCAAATCACGATAATAATGATTGTTAGCACTTAATTGGATACCAATTTGTCATCATTAGACCTGTGTCAGGTTTATCTGACCTGACTCAACCTGATTTAAAAAAGGAAATTTTTCTTATTTATTCGTTAAATAATATCAAAAAATATTTAATATATGTCTCATGTCTTCAAATTCAGGGGCCCTTACACAAGTAAGGAAGTGATTAACCAGTAATTAGTAGATTGGGTGACATCTTGAGATGTTTTCGAGGTGATTATGGTTGATAATAGACTGCATTGCACTGCCGCAGCAACCATCCAATCGAGCTGACATTAGGGGTAGAGGTCGGGTTCAATTCCTGGGTGACTTTGATGATATGGGTACGACAGCCACCTACCTTTCTGAGGTTCTATAAAGATGATAACATCTAAGCCTTTCCTTTCATGTGTAAATATACCCTGATACATGTACCTGTGGCTGAAAGTGATCCCTCTATCCAAATTTGACAGTGGTTCTGAGGTTTAGGGGCTCCGAGGGTACGCTCTTGGGGATGTCGACCTAGGTGGCAATCTTCAGACCAGTATTACAGGGCGGGTTCTGGCTAGAATAAGACTAGTCACGATCTTGTGGGATCTCAGTAGGATGTGAGGCTAACTACCTCGTTATACATCTGCCAAGGCGACTTCCCATGTATCCGAATACTGCAAAAAAAAAAAAAAAAAAATATTTAATATAAAAACTCTTTCTGCTTCTCCACTATGCCAAAAAACAGCAGAAAACAAAATAACAACCGTGGTCACTCTGCATCGCCCAAAATGAACAACTTTGTTCCTGAAAATGACATGGAAGTCGACAACACTCATGCCGAAACTTCTTTGGTAAACAACAAAGGCAAAGCAAAGGAAGTGTCCTCTACTGACAACGTAGCTTCCCCCAGTACTATGAATGTTGATGACAGTTCTGACCCTACTGAAAACCTTATCGTCACTGAGGAAGACATTCTTGCTTTTACTAACAGTCGCCCTCTTGAAAAATTTTTCGCGTATTGTTTACTCGAAAAATACAAAGGCGGAACCCCCCAACAAAAATTGCTGACATCAAACTTGTCTTTCTTAACAAAGTCGAACGAGACAACTTCTGCAAGATGCAGATTCCACAAATGGACAATAACACGTTCTTACAACTTGTCCTACAAAAACAAGCCCCCTTTACTCTGGAACTTTCCATCACTGTGACCGAAATCCCACTTGACGCCACTGAATTGCATCTTAAAAGTTATTTTCCAAATACGGTAATATCACCTGCATTACGATGGAAACTCATAACTTATGGCAATGAGCGAATATCACCTTTGACAAGGACGCTAATTTCACTGAACTTGATAAAGGAGACAGAATATTTCTTCTTAATTACATGATCAGATTTCACAGAAGCAACTTACTTCGTGTAGACATTCAGAACAAATCCAAGTTCTCAATTAAGCTAACTAACCTTCCAAGGAATACCACGTCACGTGACCTCTTGGATATTGGTCGAATGACTGAAGCAACTGCATAGATCGTCCCTAGGGTCAGGTCAAATTATAACTATCTCCAACACGCCTACTTTTACTTTGCCTCTGCGAAACTCTGTAAAACGGCTAGTAATCTCACGAATCTGACACTAAACGGTAAAAAAGTTGAATAGACGGACTCCAAGAAAAAACTTTGTGCCATCTGCTCATCTGCTCATCATAACGCAACAAACTGTCCAAAATGAAGACACAATCCTAAAGACCGTAATATGCAACAACTTTACCAAAAGTTCCAACTGGCTCAATTCAATAACTACATCGCCCCAAAAAAATAGCAACAAAGAGGCGCAATAAGAGATAATGTCACCTTCGTAGATGCTTTAAAGAACAAGAAGAAGGACGATCAGCTCAAAGGCTCTACATCTAACCCTCCACTACAGACTTCCTCCGGCAATAAACATAATCCAAAGCCTAAACTCTTAACCTGAGCTGATGATATTCCTGACGATATGGATATTGAAACAGACAACCTATCCCGGGTGTCCAAACTGATTAAGGATCTTTCCAATAGTACCTTTAAAGGAGGCTCCATGCACGATCAGGACTTCCAAAAATTCATCACCACGCAACTCAAACCATCACGAAACAACTTACAATCTTAACTTCTAGTTTAGCCTTCTCACAAGATAGACTTAACATCATCGAAAAAGCACTCGAAATCGCAGTCGTTACCCCTTAGGATGCGGCTGAACACAATAATGCGCTTCCTCATATCGATGCTTCTAAATGTATAACCCATTGCAAAAAAAGACAAATGAATAGCTTATTACAATCTGTCATCGCCAACAAAGACGTATATCATCATTCACTACAGCCATCAATAGTCTCTCCTCCACGTGTGTGGACTTCCAACAAATACTCCTAAATAAAGGTCTGATGAGTGAGTATGATGCTAAATCCTTCACTTTAACAATTCCGCCAAACAAAATTACTTAATATCTCTATATAAGTCATATGACCTAGATATCATCAGTCTTCAAGAAACAAACTTCAAATCCAGCAGCTCTTCTATTCTCAATCGGTCTTTTCCGAATTTCAGTTCCTTCACTAGCACGTAACAGGAGAACCAAACAAGTGGGTTTGGTGTCAGCCTCTCCTTCAGTAAAAAACTTGCCAAACACGTCTTTAAGCACGAATCAAAATACGATCGTATTATCTACACTAAATTACAATTCGCTGACAAATAAAAACTAATAGTTATCAATGTGTACTTCCCGCCACTCAACCCTGGCTCCAAAGCATTATGTAAATCAATGCAAACGTATATAAACGTATTCCTTGCAGAAGCAACTCGAGATAACTACCACATCATCTTGCTTGGTGATTTTAATGACGATTTTGACTGATCACAGAACCCGCAGCATACGATCTGTTTTATGAACTCACTTTTGAGACACAATTTGTTTGATGTTTTTAGCATCATTCACAATACCAATCATTCATCCTTTCTGT